AGCTCCGTGAACGGGCAAGATGAATCAAATCCTGCGCTGTGATTGGCTACCCGAGAGCTATCTTACCCGCTCGGGACTGCCCACTGCGTCCCGCAAGAAAAATTTCCCCGAAAGCCATGTAATAAATCCTTTATTGACTAAGCTTGTTCCGTCAAGATGGCTTGATATTGGCCTCGCTCTTTTTTTTTGCGAGTTTATGGACTCCGTCTCGGTTCATAAACACGCAAGAAATGAACTTGGCCAATATCCAGCAATCTTGACCTCACACTTGGTCAATAACCCATATATCTTCTTCTTCTTGTTTTGTTCATTTTTCGTCGAGCCTCTTAGCTCTTCCAGGCGTTCGGTTCGCCGTTTTTCGCGCTGCGCCCCAAGTAACTGGACGCCTGGAAGGGGCTTTTTTTTCCCTCTGGCGAAATAGCGTCTTGTTCTTCGCAGGATTTTGGCATGAAACCTGCTTAGAATTTATAATCCCCCTTGATGCATGCAGCTGTTAAATTTGATTATTTTTGAAGCACTTCCAATGGACACGACTCTCCTGAAATGGGACCTTTAATAAGCTTAGAATTTCTAAAATGGATTTCCATCTTTTTTTTTCTCTCTGCAATCGTTTCACTATAATTTTTCAAATGAGAATCTTCGATTGCATGGTTCGTGATCCGGGGAGTTTCTCCTCAGTCCGGTCTCTCCACCCCCTTCCACACCATCAGCCATCAACTGAGTAAAGTCCGGCGGAATCGGGAAGATCATTTACACACGTTGACAAGACTAACGTGCTTGCATACTATCAAAGCATTCCATATAAAAATTACATGGGAAATACGAGATGCGATTACTTGCCAAAATCAATTTAAAAAGAAACCTAGACATTCGATTTATTTCAGAAAAATTAAATCATCATCTCCTTTAACCGAAAGCTTGGGTAACACCATTACTCATTATTGCCGGCGAATTTAATAATTATATAAATGCGAGGGGTATGTAGAAATATCCTCCGGTTATAAATTTTGAACGAGCAAATAAACAATGACTGACTCGGCCTTTTTTGTTTTTGTTTTAAGTTTTGATTCATTATCAGCTACAGTGACAGAATCAGTCTACAGCGACAGTACCTGGTACTTCTGTTTTGTTAATTATGGTGCTCCCACTTAACTTGAATTTGTCTTTTTGCAGTCTGTGATCTGGCAGAGCCAGTAATCCTTCCCTCCGGTTCTAATCCTCTTCTTTCCCAGTCACACCAGAATCACACCAAAAACGCGCAGACGTGGCGGAGAAATTTAATTAATTTTGTTTTGAATGCAACCTCGAGGGATCGAAGAGAAAGGCTGCTGAGGAGCTCGCAAATTCTGCGGTATCAAGCTTTTACCTCATCCTAGTTTCATAAAAGGCCAAAAACAATAGTTATTGTTTCCAAACATGGAAACAGAATTCAGGCTCACAGCAGCAGTTTATTTTGTCACGAGGAACCATAATTAAGTTAAAGTATCATCAGCCTTCTTTCCGCTGCCGAGTCACTGCTGATTCACATGATCATCACCTGTTATAATCCATCAAGTGTTTTCGCTCACGCGCGATTGGTCTAAACGCGTCATGTGACTGAATGAGCCCCAGCTAAATCTGGGGAATAACCGAGTGACATTTCCCAATTTTCAAAGCTGTGCCTGTTCGAAAAATATTTGAAGGATAATGAACTTGGCACGAAAATGTGCACGGATATTTGTCCTTGGCACGAGCCCATCAATGGGCATTATCTGTTCTCTAAGACCACAACCGAGAAAACCTGGGGACGAAGTTGGGTCCAGTCATACACGGTCATGCGGCACTGCCGCCATTTTGAATAATCCTCTCAGTGTTGTGTTGCATACAGCTGTCTCCCTCACCTGGACACAAACATCCAGAATAACGTATTTTTCCAGCAAGATCAAGGTAAGAAACATAGCAGTTGTATCTTTACATTTAATCTTGTTTCAATCTACAGTATTAATGATCGGAGAAAAATATGAAAGCAAGATCTTCGGCGTGTCTCACAAGTAAGGACAGTATGTGGTTGAAGAAATCACCATGGTTTTGATTGCGTTCACACTTAAAGGAAGGTAGTGTGGCTATTGGGAAGAGATAGGAAAACCAGAAAGTACAGTGTATGGCTGAATAAGTCTATTTCATTTTGCAAAGATACTGATGATAAAATATACATGTANTTGCGTGAGCTCCAGGCACTTGTAATGTTGGCAGATATTACAAGGTGAAATGTGATTGGTTAATAAGAGCTAACATAGTTCTGAAATCAATCTCTCGCTGGGGTTCGCAGATGTTTTTGGCAGAGACAAGCAACAGCCAGAAATACGTTTGCGTTTGCAGGCTACCAGTCCACTGGTTCCTCAACCTTTTGTATTCAAACCACAGTTCATAATTTAGCATAATTAACTGTTTAGTAGATCAGTGTCCAGGCCACAGGTTGACCTTGTGTCCCTTTCTTTCACAGGGTTTTCTTGGGGCCTGTCACCTGGTACAATCATCTCTGCATTCTTGTTGTATGCTCAGTTTTCCCACTGTCTTTCGTTAAAAAAAATGTTACCATTCACGCCACCCTCTCTTTTTCTCACCTCCTTTAAATTTCCTCCTGTTTTGCTTAGTCCTTTTCTCCACTGATTTTCAAGCAGTGTTGTGCAGCACAACGGGCCTCACCCTTTGGTTTGTTTTCATGGCAACCATCCAAGTACTTACCTCTCAGCACCCAAAATTTGGCAGCCCAACTGCTGGTGCTTCAAACCTTTACATCCCAGCCACTCCTTTTCATGTCAAAACAAGTCAGTCTGCCAAAAATTAGCTTGATCCTGCAAAAAATGAAAATTGGTCCAAAAAGCAATATATGCCCTTTTTGCATGAGACCCTTCAAATATAAACAAGATAACCTCCTGTCTCAACATTGATGTTCTTGTTGCTTTGATTTATTAGATCTTAACAAAGTTACTAGCTTTGAGTGGTGTCTCACGTACAAGTTTATGAGAGAGAAAAAGCTAGTTAACATTGAGAGAAAAGAAATGGACATGTGATCATTTTGGTAAAGTGTATATTGAAGAAATTAAGATGCTATATTTACAACATTAATTTTGTAATTCATAAAATATCATAATAATTATGTTTGAATGTGGGTAGGGCAGGGGTGCATTGTGGTGTGCTAACTTGATTGAAGATATCAGGTGTTTTTATAACTCTTAACATAAGGCCACATGTGTACCATGTTTTAGTTACATGTACATCTTTCTTTTTCTTTAGGGCTGATATGTCAGGGTCAATACTTGCAGGTCCAGCATTTGTCCCACAAGGTTCTTCCCCAGCAGAGGCTTATGGACCTCAACTTCCACCTCCTACATCAAGTGCTGTCCAACCGGCAGCCAAGACAGCCATCAGTGAGTTGATGGAACTTACCATGCGGATGGGGCTTGTCTGTACCTTTGAAACCCTCTCTGATACTGGCCCAAGCCATAAAAAGCTGTTTATGATGCGCTGTACTGTGGGCGATATCATAGCTGAGGGCTCAGGGTATGGCAAAAAGAAGGCTAAACATGAAGCAGCTAGAGTGGCTTTGAACAAGCTCAAGGAATCCCAGCTATATGTCGACTATGTCAATGTAAGTGGTTGCAAAACACATGCAATGTACAAGATATTATTGGAAATCAAACCAAGACAGTACATGTTCATGACATGCTTGTACATCTAAAAGGTCATAAATGTTGAAATATTAAAATATTATTAATGGTGTTTAATACTGTTCATGTCTAAAAGTATCTTCAAAAAGTCTTATACTATTCTTAAAACTTTTCTCTGACAGCATGGCCAACTATTATATGTTTTGCTGTCCAGCTGCATGTATGCATAATTTTGTGATTCCATTTTTGCACTGGTTTTCCTGCTGCTGTGTAAAGAACCAGTTTAGATATTAGAACACTGTAATATCAGTAAAACTGATAAGCTAGTGGCTTTAAAGAATTAAATGATTGTGAGGATATAGCTACAGTAAGAGCCATTTTGATTGGTTCTTACCTACGATCAGTTGGAGTGTAAACGTATAATAGATGACATTTTGTTCCTTTATTACACAAAACAAATAGATTCCATGTTGCCCTGCTTCTGTTTTAGTAATAGATTGATGACGGAAGATGCCAGATGTGGCAAGAACAGCAGTGACCCACTTGGCTATTGCCTCCCATTTTTTGTTCTTACTGCATTTTGACATCATCTGTCTTCTATTACTGAACAGATCCATGGAAACATGGGATTTACTTGTTAATGCTGGTTTTCACTGGTGACGGAGTCGTAGTCAGAGTAGGAGTCGTAATCAGATGTGTAGAGTTATGCGATCTAGTGAAAATCAAACTGACGGAGTCGGATGCAGAACAGCGCATCCACCTACGACTCCGTTGCTTACGATCTAGTGAAAACTAGGTTGTCAGAGTGGGAAGCAGAAGCAGAAGAATAAACCAATCACCATGTTCGTTTCCCAGGCCTTGTGATTGGTTGGTTCTTCTGTTTCTGCTTCCGACTCCAACAATGTAGTTTTCACTGGATCATAAAGGACGGAGTCATAAACGGAATTGGAAGAAATGGAAATGTTCCGGTTCTTCTGACTCTGATTCTGTTGAGCTTTTTACTCCGCTTACAACTCTGATTTTCGATTTTCGCTAGATTATAAGCACTCTTATGTCTCGACTATGACTCCGACTCCGTCACTAGTGAAAACCAGCCTTTAAAGAAGACAACTTAGACTTGGGGTAGCTTTTAAGGTTCTGTTAAAGGCAAGAAAAGCTTACTGGGTGTGTTAAAAAGGCAGCGTGTTTAACTTGTACATTGCTGCAATTGCAGTCCCATGTCTGTTATGGGAAGTTACAAGACTATTAGTGTAATGTATGATGCAAGGTACAATATTACTGTTTGGAAGGTTGAATCATAGAAAGATAGCAAAAGCATACTGGGATGTCCAATATTAACAGATTAAAATGGCCATAAATTTGGATATACTGTCTTAATATGATCAATAAGAGGTTACAAAAGTTTGGTTGTATTAAGGGAGTTGGATCAAGTAATGTTACTGCAGTACTGTATGAATCCCTTTTAAATGAATTAAGTTAGGACTCACTTTCAACCCCTGAACTTCATTTAGGTTTACTGCTGTAAACACAACTGATACCTTTCGTTCTCAAAAAATGCAATTCTTTTTCAATTTCTGTAAGTTCATAAGCTTCATTTTTCGTCAGGCAGTTTGGGTAAATGTACATGTACATGCTGAGAAAATAGAGATCGTCTTGTTTTAGTTATTGGCCTCTGAAGTAACTTAGCCATGTAATATAGAACGTCAGCCTTAAAGGAAGTTGTTGGTTACAAGGTTACTTAAGATAAAAGGGGTTTTGCAGATGCATGTAAGAAATCAGTTGACTGGGTTTTTGTTTGGGTCAGAAAAAAAGAAACAGCCATACAGTAGTGAAGTAGCTCTATTTAAAAGGCAAGGCATCAGATACAACATGAACTGAAATATAACTTGAAATTATTAAAGATGACAAGGAGGTGAAATTGTATATGCCTGCTCTTATACTGAAATGTCATATCTTTGATTATTGCTATCATGGTTTTGTTTTCCAGCAATGGACTACAACTGCTGCGCTTGCTCCGCATAATAACCCAATAGGTCATCTTCAGGAGTTAGTGGCAAAGAAAGGCCTTCAGAAACCTGAATTTGATGTTACCAATGGGGAGGGGCCCCCTCATCAAAGAACATTCGAGACCACAGTAACAGTGGGCAGTTTACTGTGTACTGGCAAGGGAAGGTCCAAAAAGGAAGCTAAGCGAAAAGCTGCTGAAGCCATGCTCAACACTATAAGTAAAACCAATCTCTCAATGGAACCTCCAAATAAAAAGATGGCATTTGTTCCTGCTGGGTCCACTCCACCAGCGCCCATCTCATTTTTACCTGCTGGGAACTTGTGAAGATCAGTGGTGAGACAGAGTCATGTGAAAGTGAAGGCTAGCCAAGGGAATCACAACTTCTAAGAGATTGTTTTACTTCAGCAGAGTTTGAAGGAAACACAGTCTAGGAACAGTGCTTTGTGCGTATCAATGGATTCTGCATGCAATGTATCACTGCAAAGCCTGTGTGGACATCAGTTGCTCTATCTGCTTGTATGCTTGTATCCTTTGGTGTCTGGAGCTATGTCGTGGATAGCACGTCTTGAAAAACGTAGCCTACATTTTTCAAGTTTGTTAATCAATCCATCTTGATATTCCTAATTTGGAGCCACGCTTGTTTCTTCACGGTTTATTGTTTTGCCTTTGGCGTTTTTCTACCCTTGTACTTTCAGCTTTTATTCGATTTCAAGACATTTTTATTCTGTGACATAGCATTTTAACTTACCTGAAGTTCTTCTACTGCAGAATCCGTTGGTGAATATATATGTATTTCTTCATGTTGTGGTTCAATTTTACCATCGGTACATTCAGATATTTTCCTTTGCTTTATATACATTATAATATATTATAATATATTATAATATATTATAATATATTACCATACACCGGAACAAACCAAAATACTAACTGTACCACAACATATACATGTACCCTTTTATTATTTTTAGAATGCTTGTACGCTTTTAAGTCTGTGTATCCTTTTTCTCAGTCTTCAGTAGAGAGTATTCTGCCACTTGGATGAGGTTCATTCTGTAGTTCATATGTACAAAAATAAAGGTCGGCCAATGCTTAATCTTGCTAAGAGTAAACACAAGCACAAGAAACGGCCTGCAGTTTCATGTGCTTTTGATTACGGGAAAGGACTTCTTGTTTTCCAGGTAAAATCTCATTCGCAATACTACTCTCCCTTCTCTGAAAAGTCACATTCAAATACAGCTGAGATTTTTTCTTTAATAGCCCGTTGGTTGACGTTTTTTGCCCTTTAATTCCAATTCTACCGTTAGTAATAGCGGAGCTCCGGCGGCCCGAAGGGCCGCCAAGCGGAGCCCCATACTCATATAGGAAAGAAAAGGAAACCCATGAGTTGATTTTCTCATGGTT